CTTGCCTGGGTGGTAAGTGATATCCAAATTGTAGTCTGCTAACAACTCCATCCACCTTCTCTGTCTCAAATTCAGGTCTGCTTGGGTAAAAATGTACTTCAGACTCTGATGATCCGTGAGAATATGCACCTTCTCTCCATACAAATATGACCTGCAGATCTTCAGTGCAAATACCACTGCTGCCAACTCCAAGTCGTGAGTCGGATAGTTGACCTCGTGAGGTCTCAACTGACGTGAGGCATAAGCAATAACTTGTCTTTCCTGCATCAATACACATCCCAAACCCGTGCCAGATGCATCTGTGTAAACCTCTTATGGTATCCCCGTTCTAGGGAGTACCAAAAATGGTGTCTTCGTCAGCTGTCGTTTCAGCTCGGTGAAACTCTTCGAACATGCATCTGTCCAGTCAAACTTGACGTTCTTGCCTGTTAATCGCGTCATCGGCTTTGCGATACTGGCGAAACCCTTGACAAACTCTTTGTAATAACCAGCCAATCCCAGAAAGCTGCAGATCTCAGTAGCAGTCTTAGGTGTAGGCCACTCCGATATTGCCGTAATCTTCTCTGGATCTACGGCAACTCCTGACTCAGAAACCACGTGACCCAAAAATCCAATCTTCCTCTGCCAGAAGCTACACTTACTCAGCTTAGCAAATAACTGATACTCTCTGAGCTTTTCCAACACAATCCGCAAATGATCAGCATGCTCTTCTTCACTTCGAGAATATACCAAGATATCGTCGATAAAGACAATCACACACTTATCCAGATAGTCGCGAAACACGTCATTCATGAGCTTCATAAATGCTGCAGGTGCATTTGTGAACCCAAATGGCATCACTACGAACTCACAATGTCCATAACGTGTACGAAAAGCCATCTTCCGCACATCCTCATCAGCTATCGCAATCTGGTGGTATCCCGATGCCAATTCAATCTTAGAAAACCAAGAAGCTCCTTGCAACTGATCCAACAACTCATCGATACGCGGCTGTGGATACTTATTTTTAATGCTCACCTTATTCAAGCCTATGTAGTCGATACAAAGCCTGAAACTCCCATCTTTCTTCTTCACAAACAATACCGGTGCTCCCCACGATGAAGTACTCGGTCTGATAAAACCTTTATCTGATAATTCCTCCAATTGCTTCTTTAACTCTGCCATTTCTGCGGGTGCTAAACGGTATGGAGCTCGTGAAATCGGCGCTGTCCCTGGTTCCAACTCAATTGTAAGGGCGTCTCCTCTTGCTGATGGTTGCCCCTTTAAGGCCTCAAAGACATCCTCATACTCTGCAACCACTGGAATATTCTCCAGCTCCTGCTTTTCATCTTCCTTCACCATCGAAATGGTGGGCAAAAATCCCTGTGCTCCTCTCTCTAATAACTCCTCAGCGTGCAACATCGAGACTATAGAAACCCCAAAGTGTGTCTGAATTCCCTGGAATGTGATCTTCCCATCTGCTCCAGGAATATGAACTCCGGCCCTCGGGCAATCCAACACTACTCGATGATCTGACAGCCAATCCATCCCGAGAATAACATCGTAGTAATTCAACTCCATCTCTTCCAAGTCTCCGATGAAATCGACCCCTCCAAGTGTGACTGGTACATCTCGATGAACGCCAACAGCTCCCAATCTCTTTGTGCCAGCTGTCTGAATCTGCTTAGCTTTTGGCTCGAAAACACCTCGAAAGGACCAACACTTGACCAAACGTGGGCTCACAAAGCTATGCGAAGCCCCCGTGTCGAATAAAGTGTGAGCGGACTCACCTCCAACCAAAACCGATCCTAAAACAAAATATTTTTAGTAACTACACATGATAACCACAATAAACCACAATTCAAACGTAACAAGTATGATAGCGATACATACCAGTTATCGGCTCAGCTCCGGTAGGATCCCCTGTAGCATACACGCGTGGAGTGATGGCTGGACGCTTAGCCGCAGGCCCTTTCGTTGGGCAGTACCTGGAGATATGGCCCAGCTGGCCACAAGTGAAACAAGCTCCTGGAGCAACTGTTGTAGCTGCTGTCGGTGCTGGTGCTTCTGCTGTCTGTGCACCCTGTGCTGCAACCTGGGCACCTATCGGACTACTCCAACAAGCCCTCCTCTTATGCCCCATCTTCCCACAGATAAAGCACTGGACGTTCGACTGATCCCAAGTCCTCTTACGTGGCTCTGAAGTCCTCCCAGTCTTAGGCGGAGCTGTCTTAGAATGCTTCTGCTCCTCAGCAATACACCTCTCCTGTACAACAGCCTTTTCAACCAAATCCTCCAAGCTAGTGTAAGTCACCACACTGCATCTGCCACGAAGATCGACTCGCATCCCATCTAAGAATCTCCTGATCAGATCCTCCTCATCGAAGTGGTTACCAGCAAACAGGCGAAGTTGACTAAACTCCTGGTCGTACTCCCTGACGGTCTTGGTACCCTGTCTCAAATGCTCGAAGTCATTCTTCTTCTGGTGCAGTGCTTCCCTAGGGAAGTACTTCTTGTCGAATGCCTTACAGAAATCCTCATATGTCAGCTCGCCTTGGTGTAGTGTTTGCACTCCATCCCAGCACAACGCTGCATCACCACGCAGATATAACACCGCAACATTAAGGCAAATTTGAAGCGGACAATTGATAGCCTGTAGACACGACGCCAACCTATGCTTCCAACGATGGGCCTCCACTGGATCTTTTGCTCCGTGGAATTTCTCCAAATCCACATTCTTCAATCTTCCCAACACTCTAAGAAGCGTCTCATCATATGAAGGAACCTGTTCAGGAAGAACTGGTGGTGGTGGTGGCGGAACCTGAAAAACCCCTGGAACCTGCTGAGCTGGCGAGACAGGTGGAATCTGCTGGCCCGTCTGAATAGGATTCTGCTGATCCTGCTGAATCTGAACTGGTGCGGCCTGCTGCACCTGAATCTGTGGACCATTCTGCACCTGAACTTGAGGTCCACGTCGTCCCTGCGGAGCTGCAGCTAACTGTCGAGCAACCTCCTGAGCCGCTGCCTGGGTAGCCTGTCTAGCTGCCTCTTGAGCAACTTGCTGAACTGCCTGCTGAGCGGCCTGCTGAGCAGCCTATCGAGCGGCATCCTGCACCATCTGCCTCAAAGCATCCTGATCAACTGCTGGAACCGGAATCTGTGGAATTACAGGTGGCACCTGCTCATCTCCAACCTCCTGAGCAGTCCTGGCAGTCTGGGGACGAACAACTCTTGCAGTCTGAGAACGACCAACACTCTTTCTCGGCGGCATCTGAAAGGGAGAAAAGAAAATTCAAAATGGTCAACTTCTGCTGGAACTGGTTGCTAACGTTCCTACCAAGAATAATACTAACAGAAAGGTGGTACTTGTTTTTATTTTAAAAATCACCAAGTTCCCCCAAATATCATTTTTAAAATTCAGTTTATAAATCCGCTAAAACCAGGTCCTCACAGATCGCCATTCCGGGTCGGAGCCGGGACGGAACCCCGCTCTGATACCAAATTGTAACACCCGCATTTTCCAAATAATAAAATAAGTAAAAATGTCTGAAATCTCCATTTATTATAATAGCATAAATCATCTCAAAAACTCCATAAATCCAAATAACGTAATAACTCTCGAAAATATCGATAAAAGCATATGTCTGAAAATAACTAAATAAAACTTCCAAAAGCACCAGTCCGAAAAGATCACACTCGATCGTCAGTATCACCTGAAAGGGGAAAGAATGAGAGGTTAGTAACAGGGGAGTCACTCAGTGAGGTATGGGATGCTAAACACGCAAAACATTGACTTGAGTAAATAGACCTCCCACTATGGAAGTTTAGCTCTAACATGAACAAACACGGCACCTAGAGCGCCCACAGAACAACCATGCGATGATAGCATACAGCTAATCCATACACCCCGCATACTCCTCATAAGGATATAAATATATACTTGAACCGACAGTCTGTCTCTGTACCCCCGCCCAACCGTAGCGTCGAATGCAAACGTCTCTGCATCACGCCCCAAACAGTAGCGTTGAAGCTCAAACGTCTCTGAACTCACGCCCCACATCGTAGCGTCGAAGCCCGGACAGCTCCGAACTCACGCCCCACACATAGTCCCTACTCATAACTATGTATACGTACATATATATAGCATCACTTAGCATCAATCAATCCAATCCAATCCATGGTTGAATACTCTAGACCCCTAGTTCCAGTTACCAAACAAGACTCAGACAGACTCAATTCAAACAGACGGATCATGTTTTGAAACTAAACTAGGATAGGAAGAATTCTATACTGGTACGGGAATTACGGAATAGACCCTCACCTTAGCAAAATGTGAAAAGTGGTAGCTTGAACTCCTGGTGCTCGAACAGACTACAAATCTGAAATCAGGGCAAAAAATCGAGTCAGAACGCCCTTCGAACGGCAAAAAATGGATAACCGGTGGTTTGGTCAAAAAGTCAAGTCGCTGGTCAAAGATCAACCCGGTCAACTCTGACCCAAGCCGGTCAACCCTTGACCAGATTGAAATCGAATTGAACTGCCGGTTTTCCTTAACCAAATTCGATTTCAGTTGGACCAGAACTAAATCAATTTCAATCCGGTTAAACTCTAAACCAAAATCAATTTAATAACCAATCCGGTTTACACCTAACCAAATCCAAATTATTTTAAACCGCAAACCAATAACCAAACCGAAATCAATTTGGCCAATGGCAATAATAGTAATATTCCAAGGTAAAACAGGGGTAAATATTAGTAATGATTCTGTATTAATAATATTGATATGTGATATGTATGTTTACCATGTCGAGAATGGCGACGGAAAGAAGATGAAAACCAGTGAATTCTATTTTGCCTCCAAATAGCTGCATAGCCATCATCAACATGTTGTGGAGCTCACCATTGCATTAGCTACTACGAAGAACCTATTTCCCCCACACCAAGAATCATTAACAAGATTGGTCTACAAACTATTAACATTTGGAATCTCAAAATTATAATATAAAGCAATGAAGGCTTACACAAAAGCTGGAGTGTGTTGGAACTTAGCAGTGAAAGTAGCTTTGACCGGAGTATTTCCAACGTTTCCCACCACAAACGTCTTTGTCTTTTTATTCAATCCCATCACAATGGCTGCAGATAGCTTAGCCGAGAAGGCCAGTACTCTTAGCCCTAAGAGTACTTTGCAGCTTTTACGGCTTGTCGCAGCCAATACAAGCTTTGAAACCGCCATTTACTTAAGATGAATTTTGTTTGTGTTGTAATGTGTGAAAGAGTGTTGTGTCTGTGTGAGTATATATTTGTGAGTTTGAGTGTTTGTATTTGGTCCTTTGTCTGACCATCTAACTTTGTAGGGTTAATTTTAGGTGTTGGTGGTTGTGAAGGTTCAGTGAAAAATATCAAATGAAAAACTTAGAGTTCTTATCTCTTTTTTGTTGGTTTGTTCTGTGGCAAGTTAACTTACTCTTGGGACAATCTCATCTACCGAATACTTAAACAAGTATTGACTTCTTGACTTTTTATTTGCTTCATTCTTTTCTATGAAATTTAAAACATGATTGTTTGATTGTATTTTTCATTTTAAATATAGTGTATACTGGGGGTTCAACTGGCTAAGAAAGATGTAATGACAGGAATAAGGATAATAAAATTTTAAATGAACCATGAAGTAAATCCTTTTTTGGAACACTGGAACCATCAAGTTAATCATATGCACAAAATAACTCAGAAATAATGGATCGTTTTAAGCCTAGTTCAAAAAGAAACAAAAAGAATCGTTTTAGTCAAAAATGTTATAAACCAAATGGTGTCCATAATTGGCCCTACTGGAACCGTACCGGACCGGCCCATCAGAGTTCTGGGTCGGTCGAGTTTTCCTAATCCGTGTTGGATTACATTTGGTGTTTTTCCTATTCCATGTTGTATTAGGTTTTGTACTATTTCCTTTTCCTAGTTTGTTTAGGTTTTTCTTTTTTTAGGATCTTGTAACTCCCTATATAAGGAAACCTTATGTTAATGACCATTCCCCCATACTTTCCTAACACGTTATCAGCACGATCAAGTCTCTAAATCCCTAAGCTAAAGTTCCAACCAGAAACCCTAATAGCTCTCTCTCTCTCTCTCTCTCTCTCTCTCTCTCTCTCTCTCTCTCTCTCTCTCTCTCTCTCTCTCTCTCTCTCTCTCTCTCTCTCGCGAAGAGCCCTAGACGGCGGAACCCCTTGTCGGCGAGAACCACCACTGTGAAACCCTAGCCGGAACCCTAACCCTAATTCTTGATCAGCCACCAATCTCAGCCTATTCATCTGCGATCAAGAACCCTGTAATCGTCTATCCGATCGGAGCGAGTTCCCGATTTCTGCAACTCCACCCGATAGCAGCAAGTACCAAAATTCTCGACCCAATGTAAGCAACTCGCGAACCCGATCTCAACAAGCCCCATCCACGGTCCGATTGCAGCACGATCTGATAGCACCATTCTTAGATTTGTTGATTGTAGAAAGTACTATAGATGCTAAAGTGGATCACCGATCACCTATGTCAACACTTTCATGATTGTCTGGAAGAACCAAAGCTGATTTCCAACCTAACCTGACATATATTGCTTGTCTTGGGGATTGGTATAGAAGGGATCAGAATCCTCTTACAAGTCTGGAAGGTAAAAGTCTCAAAAAAAAAAAAAAAATTTGGTTTCCTTCTTTCCTTCCTTCGGCATCCCCAGAGAATAAAAGACTGATATGATTTCCTGAGAGGCAGAGGGAGAGGTACATTACCTATGACCCCACTATTCTAAATCAAAGGAATGATCAAAGCGAGGGAGAGGTACATTACCTACTCCACTATTCGCTTACACTTTGTCAAAAAAGATCAATAAGATGAACATTAAATGTTCATTGGGATTGATATAAAAAAAAAAAGAGAAAGAAATAGTTGGGATTCAGAGAAGGGGAATAAAGAAAGAAAGGGAACCAGAATGAGAATGCCTGAAACTTGTTGAGTTGAATCCAAGTGTTCCTTGATCGATACTCCCAAGGTAAAGCCTACACCTTTATTTTTATGCATAAATGAAATCAGTAGAGGGGATAGACAAACAAGGAATGTTTAAGTTGATTGGCTAGATGTATCAGGTTGCTAAGCTAGGATATGGTATAATGTACTTCTGTAGTTGATAGGAATGAGATGTGGTTTGCAAAAAAGTAAGAGGTTATGATTTTTAAGTTGAGATATTGATTTAGTCCCAGCTGTTTTTAAACTTCTTTCCAAGACTACTTAAGGTTTGCTTGAGGACAAGCAAAAGGTTAAGTCTGGGGAGCTGATATCCTATGATTTTGACCTGTTTTTGGTCATGGTGTTACTATGTTTTTATAATAAATATCTATGTTTTGGAGTCTATTAGGTATGTTTTCAGGTTCAGGAGCATTTTGTGGTAAAGTGATGATTTAGGTGCCTTTTGGTGCTTAGAGAAGAGTTTTCCAAGATGACTATGAAGGTCCGACATAAGAGATACATATCGATCGATACACACCCTGTGTAATCCATCGATGACGCCCTAGAAAGACAATCAGAAATTAAGAGTTTTGTATTCTATTCTATACTTAGCAATAAAATCATTTTCGTTTCATCTTATTGTTTTGCTATGAATCTCTTGGCTATGTCTGAGTAGATTCATCTGTTAGATTTGGGGTTCAAATAGTTATGAGGGATTAGCCCCAACTATGGATTGTTGAGTTGTTATATTCATTATCCAAATGAACCCTAATGCTTACTCTAGACTTTCTACCTAGAGTTATGATTATGGAGTGACTAATCTAATAGTCATTTTCCTGAAATCAATTGGCTAAACCCCGACTCTATTAAGGCTCGATGCGACAGCCGGTCTGATAAAAATTCTTGGGTGAACACAGTTTCAATCCGATCTGATACTTTATATCGATCGATACTCCTCTAGAGTCATCGATCGACGGCAGCACATATAGATCGACACTGCGATAGCAACATCGATCGATGCAGTCGGAAATCAGATCAATGGACGAGTCTGATGGCGACAGCTATAGATTTGTCTAAGGGTTGAAGTTCTCATATATTTGCAAGCAATTCGTTAAGACATCCATAGATTTATAATCCTGATTTTCTGAATAGTAACCTTGAATTATACTACTTTCTTTCATTGTTTTCAAACCCAAAACCTATTTTCCTTAGCAACTTACCATTGCTACCTATTTTATTTACTGTTTTAAAACCTTTTCAACCTAGCTTAATCACTTAGGATTATATCTTTTGTGACTCTAGTTCCTTGTGGATTCGAGCCCTAAGTACTACGTTTGAACCTCTTATTTGAGAGAGTAAATCACTCCTTAGGGTTAAACATTTGAGTGACATCAATGGTCCTAATAATAATGAGATCTCAATCAATTATGTCATGTCTGGAATACAATGGAACATAAAGAATCTCGACATTGATGATATAATTGCATCCAACATAGCACTTGAAATTATGGAAATGAACGAGGATCATGAACCCACGGCTATTTATGAGTGCACTCAACGATCAGATTGAAGTTAAATTCTTTAAAGAAAAGAGAGGTCTTTGGTCCTATAATTCAGACACCTCCCGATATTAAACCAATTGGACATAAATGGGTCTTTGTGAGGAAAATAAATGAACATGGTGAAGCCGTGAGATATAAAGGACGACTGGTTACACAAGCATTCTCAGAGAGACCAGGAATATATTATGAGGAGGCATACTCCTCTGTGGTGGATTCTACTACTTTTAGATTCCTAATAAGTCTAGCTATAAGAGATAACTTAGACCTGCGGTTAATGGGTGTAGTAACTGCATATTTATATGGTCCACTGGATAATAAGATATACATGAAAGTACATGAGGGTATTGAGCTGAAAGACAAATCAAGTTCTCGAGAACAATATTCTATAAAGTTGATTAGGTCACTTTATCGTTTGAAACAATCAGGTCGAATGTGGTACAATTAACTAAGCGAGTGTGGGAACCAAAATTCTCCTACTGTCAATAAATCGTAAATAAGGGAACTTTGAGTAAACCCTAAGTTCCCAGAGAACCCGGCTATCTGCGGAACCGCACAAGAACAATTAAGAAAACGATGAATGCGAAACTTAAGTATAAATAAACGAGATTGAGAGCAAGAAGGATCTTATTCCGAATCTGCGTAAGAACGGTTACAACGAGAGTAGCCTTAGCTGCGTGAGCCGTCGGCGAAATCCCTAACTCTAGCAATCTAAGACCGAAACCCCTAGTTGAGACGCAGCTCGATAACAAAAACGAAAATATTCCTAAGTGAAGTTTGGTGGTGAATGCTCTGAAAAACCCGTCCTTGCTTCTGCCCTATGCATCTTGCTTATATACTCCCTTCCTAGGCTGTTTAGTCTTTCCATTTCACCCAGATTCGAGTTTATCGAGAATCTTCCATTTTTCTCGATCTTTCCTTTTTTCCCGCGAAAATCTTCTATTTATCTTCAAACTTGCCATTTACCTTCAAACTTAACTTTTATTCTCCTTCTGCGGGTAAATCTTCAAAACATTATCGTATCTTTGGGTTAGATTTCGTTAAAATCGCGAGATGGGCTTTTATCACGTTTTAGGATCTTTTGAGCCATTTTGCGGTAAATCCATTTTACGACTTTATACGAGATCGTTTCCTGATTCGATGCCAATTTTATAATAAATTCCTCGATTTAATTGTAAAGTTTAGCTACGTTCGTTTTTCGGTTAATCGTTGCCATTTTTACGATTCACTAGACATTTTTATTAAAAACGCGTTTTTACGATTTTTACGGAAAATCTCGAATAAATCGTATAGTTTAGGCAATGTTTCATGTTTCGTTTAACCGTTGCCGTTTTATACGATTTCCTTGAGTTCTTTTCGAGAAAACAAAGTTTTACGGTTTTTATCGTAAAACTCGAACGATTGGACGGATCGAGACGAAACGGGAGACATTTCGACCGTGGTTCGGAATATGATCGTGTCGAGGACATGGGAGATCGAGGCTCAGGATGATCGGCTTGCCGTACGGAGAGCTACTCATGATGGGACTAGCTTGCTGTACGGCGAGCTAGTCTGAGGCCGCTTAGCTCGCCTTACGGCGAGCTAGTTCGGCCAAACTAGCTCTCGGTTTACGGCGGATGCGGTTTTTTGCGGTTTTGTGCTTAACTCGGACGATCATGTAATCGATGCTTGTTTCGTTCTTCCGAGATAA